TCGGGGTAATGGGAGACAATGACACCTCAAGTGTGTGGTTTATGTCCAGTCTACTTCGTAATTTTGTTTTCGTCGCCGTTGCTGCAGAAACCCCCCCGACTCACACAGGTAGGATGTCGGAAATAGCAACTGTGCTATTGTGGCGATCTCAGAGTATTCAGCCATAACTTTGATCCAGTTGTTTCGAACGGACTTTTAAGGCCGCCGTCATTTGCAATCTCCAAGCAGCTTTTTTACTCATTTTGCGGGCTTCAGCATTTTGTTTATGAGCGTCATCGGTCACGTGACCGAGAAGTGTGGCTTGACGTGAGTCAAGCGTGACACAGACGGATGTAACAGAGAATCCGGTAATTTTTCAAAATAAAACACATTTCGTATTCCGAAATAAATAAAACGGAAATAAGGCAAGTTCTTTCTGTGCGGCCCGGTACCAAATGCCCTGCGGACCGGTACCGGTCCGCGGACCGGCGGTTGGGGACCCCTGTTCTAAATCATGTTAAGGTCTAGATTAAGACTAACATGGATACACTGGACAGATATTTGACCATTTTTGTTGTACTTGCACTGACGTGTGTATGTGGACTTTGTTTAAAAAAATAAAAATAAAAACATTCTAGGCTCAAGACACATAACATTTTGTGCAGTGCAGCCTTTATACAGTATATGCGTTTCATTCATTCTGCGACTCAAAACACTCCTATTGCAAATCATCTTAACCCACTGCAATGAATGGAAATGCCAATAATCCGTTCCACTCTCACAAACGATCATGACAATTGAATTGAATGAAAAGTAATTCCATTTCATGTTTGTTTCGCCACGCTTTCTTCTTCAACACATACTGTGCTGCTCATTCTGGCGGGAGGGGTGAGATTCCCCAGATATGTTGCGAGTCAGAAAATGTGAATTTGAGTGGCGGCACTGCAGGACAGCTTCTGTTAGTATAGTTAACGCAGAGTGCAACCCATTTACTTTTTTTCCCCCCATTTCAAGTGTCGTGACAGAAATGCTTCAACTATAAGACATTTCCGAGCTGTAATTGCAACACGGCAGTACCGCGAGACCTTGCCGTTTTTGACAAATGTTATATCAGCATCCGATGCCGCCGCATGCCGACTCTCAACCCGTTTGTGGATACATGACGCAAGCTTTGGGCAGTGGACTTTCATTCACGCAGAGCATTCTGGAACATGTCCTCCCGACGGCAATTATATTTGTTACAAAGTGTCGAATTGTTATTGTAGTCGAAAAGATTACCGGTATTTTTGAAATTCCGAAATGTAGATGATGCTACTTATCCTCCTCCAAAGTGATAGCTAGTGCGCAGGATTCCTTCAAGAATGCGTGTTGGAAGGTTACTCGAGGCGGAGCCCCGAGGGAGCTTTTTATGGCACCTAGGAGACCACATTTCAGGAAATGCTACGAGCCTCTGTCATTTGCCAGCCTTGGGTCGCTGCCTGCTGCCAGCAAGCTTTCATCGCGGCCATTTATTTCTTTTCAAACAATGTGCTTCCTTTTCCCCACCCCGAATGAGTTAAATACTGCACTTTGGACCCTCTTTGTAATACTACACTTGACCCTGCAGAACGTATTTCACCTCGCGTGTAGTGTTGAGACATACAACCGCCGCTGCTTGGTAATTAGCAGAAGGATATGTTTAAACTTGCCTTCAAGAAGGGAGGTCCTGAAGCGCTACCATTATTACGTCAATGAAAAAAACAAAAAAAAAAACATCAAACATGAAAGTAGATTTGAAGTGATTAACTGGGTAAACGCCGAAGAGAAGTACACACGTACATCTTTGGCCATCTGTCCCGCTTGCTGGTTACGACGGTAGAAGATCTCCTTATACTCGTCCATCCAGACCTCGGCCAGTCGGACCTGGTTGCGGGCGATGACCTGCGTGCCCTTGGGAAAAGTGTGGGGACTCTTGGTGCGGAAAACGTGGCCCACGACGGAGCACGGGATGATCTCCAGCTGCCCGCCGCACTGCCAGACCTGTGGGTGACAGGTAAACACAAAAAACACTTCAAGCCTCGTTTCCACTTAGGAGGTACAGTTTGGCAATTGTCATGTCAGCTCCAATAAGTACTGTACGGGGTGATCCAACTTTTTACACCAAATACCACATCATGAATATTTAGCTCTCAAAGTACCAAGACCAAGGCTGACATACAGTAGCAGAGAACACAAGAGGGTTTATCCCCCCCAAAAAGCAGCGTATTTCACCCTTGTGAGATGTTCATATTTCTGTATTTTAGACAAGGTTCATGGGGCTGGTGGAAATCTGTGATCAAGTCTGAAATGTGACAGATGGACTGTCGTTTAGAATTGTTCCCACTTCTGGTCAAATGTTTGGGAATGAGAGAGCCAAAGGTGTTGACTTTGTAACAATGTTGTAAAGGCAAGGTCAAAAACTCAAAATGTTCACAATTGAGAGCAGAACATCCTGTAATATAAAATGTGATGAAAATGTGTTCTGATACGCGCTTCTCATAGAAAAACGAGTTCAGCTAAGGATTTTTGGGGGCGGGGTGGAGGGTGTTTTTTTTTTTCAGAAACCCCCCCAAAAAAATAAAGAACAGCCTACAATTTGACAATTAAATTCAGTGAGTGTACGCCACAATGGGAATCGCTGCTGCGACATGACAATAGTAGCTTAACAGCAATGAAATAACAGCTTTGACACACATTTACAAGACATAATTTGACCACGCTGGCATCTGCAAAGTCACAATACAATGGAAGCGGCTGTCAAACTCCGGCCCTGATTCCAATGATCAGCTCATCAGCAAGCTCTGCAGTCCTGATCATTTGAATCAGGTGAGTTGGAGGAGCTAAACATCGAGAACATGCAGGATGAGTGTCACTTGAGGACCGGACACCTGCTTGGTGCAAATGAGGTACGTTTATGGCTTGGCATTCCTTACCCTGAAAGACATTTCAATATTCTCGCCGCCCCAGATTTCCATTTGCTCATCATAGCTTCCAATGTGGTAGAAATATTCCTTGGAGATGGAGAACAGCCCGCCGGCAAAAGTGGGCGTCCTGCAAAAGACTTGAATGAAAAAGTCGTTTTCGCAAGAGTCCATGTCGCGGAGACGCTCGGCTTACTTAATTGGGTACGTTTCATCCTTCCTCCTGTTTTTCTCATGATCCGGAAGACTCTCCCATCCAAAGGACAAGCCCCAGTCAAAGTTGCCCCGGTTGTGGTTCTGGCCGGACGGGGACGGCTTCATGAACTCAAAGGTGTTGAGGTCAATGGTTGATATGTCAGGACTGACCACGGCAGTCGAGTTCTCCGCAATCCTGGCAAGCAGCGGCTCCAGCCAGCCGTGAAAGCATTCGCCTGTGAGCACAAAAAAAAAAACGACTCACACTACGGTCATCGGCGTGTCCGGCACGCAATGTGACGACCAAGGAGTTTGCACGAGCCAAGACTTTTTAGAAAACTTGTACTCGTAGACTTTTTATAATTAAAAAAAAAAAAAAAAAAAAAAAAAAAACCTAAAACCACCACTAAAACTATGCAAACGTAAAAACAAAGCATGTTCCCCCCCAAAAAAACAAAACAAAAAAAATTAACAAACCTACTTGAAAAACTAAAAAAAAAAGTCACAATGAAACAAATACTAACTATAATGGTTGTGTACTCACAATGGGCATCCAGAAAGGTGAGTGTGTCACCGGTAGCCACAGACGCGCCCAGTAACCGAGCAGTAATCAGCCCTTTCCTCTCTATTTGCCGGACGACCCGGACAATACTGAGAGCTTTCAGATACTCGTCCAACTCGTCCTTAAGCACATCTGAAAGGCAAGTATCAAAAAGGTTAAAATGACACCGTGAATGAGTTTGACAGTTATAAACCGTCTGGTTAAGCTCCATATAAAAGGCGCGGGGACTGTCCAGCTGATAAGACTCGCAATCGTTGGCATGCATGACTCAACCAGAATAAAAGGAAAGCTAGCTTTGCTGCTAATCCTCAATATGGGGAGCTATTTGGTCAAACCTGTTTCCACCGAGTACGGCTGCTGTGTATCCGGCCACCACCTGTGGGCCTGGCTCCCTTTCAGTAACTGAATCTAAAAGGCTCCAAATGGACTGAAGTCTCCCCTAGGATTCTGTTACTTCCCTCCACCGGGCCTCTTTTTTTTTGCAAGAGTCATTTCGGAGCTCTGACTGTGAAGTCCTCTTAGGAAAGTATTCACCTTCACTTCTCACTTCCTCCAGCTACAATAGAGGAAAAGGGCTTCCTCCCCACCGCACCGCATGAAATCAAACCCTGCAAAGAGAAACGAGTGATTGGCTCCAAAGGCCCCCCGTTTTACCATCAGCGCTGGCGTCGTCCACCAGGATAATCTCCTTGAGGAGAATGGCGGGGGATGTATGCAGGACGCTGTACACCGTCCTGAGCAGGGTGCTCCAGGCCTCATTGTGAAAGACGATTATCACGCTGGTGGTTGGCAAGCGAGGGCATCGCTTGAAGGTTTGCTCAATACATCTGCGGAGAGAGGCACAAAGATCTATCTGTTCCGAGCGCTCCGGAAGGCTTCCTCTGTGCCGTGTTTGATTACTGCTGTGACACCGCGTGCGTGGCGACATTTTATTTTATTTTTTTCCTTCAAATGGGCAGTGGGAGAAACTATTTGATTGCCCGAGATTAAAAATTACGCGTCTGGTTGTTGTGTACGTTACGTGAACTGTGATGGCATGCGGGCTGAGATGGGGGCACCAGAGGGGTGTGCTGTCATGATCCAAATGTAAGTGACTTTGCTTGAGCTGGCCTACCCGGTTACTATGAGTAGGCATGCTGAAGCAAAGTCTCCGTGAGAGCAATCATCTCTGTGGTTTCTGTCTGACTCCACTTGCAAAAACCAAACGCAATGGATTTGCTGGAGCTAAGGCTCGAGTCTTGTATTACCGCCCCCCCCATACCACAATCTATGTTATGCAAAGACCCGAGTGTTTTTGCACTTCACCTCCACGAAAAGGAAGTTACAGTAGAACCTCTGCATATGGAACCTGGTCAACGCCCCCATGCTCGGCCCCAATATGACTTGACTGATAAAGTTTGAACGCTAACAACAGTGGTTTGTTTGTTTGTTGTTAGTTTTTTTTTTCCCTTTTGATTTTTGTAACAATTCCAATTCAAATCTATTTTTGGGGATGACGTCAGAAGATGCCATAATGTATTGGGCAAGACCTCGGACGACCGCAGAGAAGCTCAGAATGCTTTTTTTTTCTTCTACTTATTCCGTAGAAGCGACAGACTCAAAATGGACGTTGACGGGGAAAGAAAAAAAAACTATGAGAAGATGAATATTAAGCAGATGTTTGTTGAAGTAAGAAGACTCGCACTCAAAGCAGCAAGACTCTGGTGGGGTCGCCATTATCTTAGCCAACTTTAACATAATTTGTGATTTCCAGCGGGGAACTTATTTATATATAACAGTTAAGAACGTTAAAAAATATTACTAAAGACATTTCCTCTGCGCCATTATTTCCTATGGGAAACATGAATTTAGAGCTTCCATTGTCATTTATAGCCCTTGCACAAAATACGGCTCGGGGGCCACATCTGGCCCGCCCACGGTCTTTGACCGGCCCTCACTGTGACAATGAGGTCAAAGAAAAACTGGAAAAAAAAAAAAGAAAGAGACAAGCAAAAACAACAACAGCGGTCCTAATGCTAGCGAAATTATTTGAGATTTGCATGTTGGCTTCGCGTAAGCGTTCCACTTTCTCTTTTGGTCACTTTGCAAGATTAATTGCCCACCCTTGATTTCGAGTTTACTTTGGAAAAACCAAAGGGCCAATTTCCTCAAACTTCTGTAAATGGCTAAAGCCTAAGTGGGGAACATATTTTTGTAAATAGTTTTGCAACAGTGGGATAGATCACTTTTCACAAGTGTTTGTGGTCTCTGGATTATCAGACTATTCAGTTACAAATGGACATAGCACAAGTAGGTGGGGTTTGCGGTCTAGACTTTTGTCATAGTGTGCCAGTTGAATGTTATTGTTTTATGACTATTATCATTTCAGTTATAAACTCCGCACAGCACAAGTAGGTGCAACTGCAGCTTTGGTGCTGAGCAATTATTTGGAAAAGGAGTGAGCACAATTTGGTTGGCACAAACATTGCCGACTCCATATTGAGTTTAAGATCAAGTCAAACATGAGTTCTTTTGTATGAACAGGATGAAGAGTGCGCAAGCAAACATACTCTGGTGGTCTCGTGTCGGCGCCCAGGTCTCGGCTCAGGGAGATGCGATCGCTGGCATACAGATTGAAGCAGTGCTTCTGCTCGCCCGTCTCTTTTTCCTTCTGTTCTGCGGGGCTCAGCGAGTCCGTGCGAAAGGGCTTGCCAGCGGCGCCGGGCGCCAGTGGGTTCTGTGGAGGCCTCTCCAAGGCCGGTTTGAGCTCGGCGGCTGTGTAGTGACCCGGCAAGCAGGACGCGCCGTTTGCACTGTGCTTCTGACGTATGGGGGCTCTAATTTGCAACTTGGGCATGGCGTCCCTGAAGTTATTAACCGCTCCCATCACCATGCCCAGCATGGTATCCTGCTTCTCTTTGATCTCCTTTAGCCACGGGTCCTCCCGTTGACTTCGGCTCTCCACTTCCCATTGTATCAAGAACACAAACGTGACAAAGACCAGTGCTGCTATGACAAGTTTCAGAGGATGCAGTCGTCGTCGGAACACTCGGCGCAGTATTGTCATTCTTCTTGGATGGAGACCCAGGCTGGGTTTAAACTGCAGTCCCAACTGCAATGCATCGATAGAGAACCAGTGTCAAAAGTCAGCGTCACTTCTAGGTTTTGCATCGCTATAAAGTGCCGTTTATGTCCTCGACAGAACCACTCCGTCATCATTAAAACGGATCAGAATAAGTAAACTGAAGCGGCCAAACATTGGCACAATGAGGAGTCCTCAGTTTCATCGAGATCTCCATCACAGTGGTTTGCCAGCTACAGTATGTGTAAGGAGTGGCTGGGTAGGTGAAGAAAAGCGGCCATTTTCTGCCAGACTGGTTGCCTGCAATCGTGCTGGCTGAGTTTGTGTCCGTCTTAATACAAAACTTTTTTTTTTTTAATCATAATTTTAAAAAAATCATTAGGATTTCCCCCCAAAGACAAAGTTGGAAAACCTGTATGGCCTCCATTTTTGGGTTGAGATACAGACTTTCCCCAAAACCATCCATTTCCAGGCACGAGAACCACTTGAGGCTCAGACTGTTGCATACAGGGTTGAATACTATCAATTCTGATTTGATTATCCAGAAGCGAGATCGGTCGATACTGATCGCATGGATTCGCTGCATATTTTTCAATGTTACAGATGCTGACATTGCAACCCAGCTAAAAGGCGTGCCAACGTGGCAGCCATGTTGGCAGGTACAATGTTTTAATCAAAAGCAAAGGTATAGAAATTATTATGTAACTTGCTTATGCCCGATCCGATTTTTCTAAGGTTTGCTTTTTTTGTCAATGCCAAAATGAGTGCAAATTACACAGAATATGACCAAAAAAAGACCAACATTTTTTTTATTGCTTTAATTTAATATGCAATTTCAAGTTCCAGCAATCTCCGCTTTCGTTTTTCGTGCCGTCCTCACACGTTAATGAACTGACAGCGTTGCCCTTCCTTGCTTAGCCTCATAATGCTGGTCTCATGTGAATAAATTAATATTTGCAATTTTACACACACACAGTTAGTGTTTATGTTTGCATTGTCTGCTTGCAGTTAAAATATCGATTTTTTTTGAACGTGTGAGAGCTTTACCAAGCTATTGCGAACATCATAACATCTAAATACAACTGATATGAAGCGCAATAATAAGTCAAGCTTTTGGGGAGGTCTTAAAGGCACTTTATGGTAATACTGACTTTGGTCTCCGACATAACACAGGAAAAGTTGACCTCGTGCAGTTAAACATACAACTCGTTCGATATAGAACAAGTACTAAAATTAACTCCATCCACACGTTATCTGAACCGCTTAATCCTCACGCACAAAATTAATTTGTGAAATTGTCATCAATCAGTAAAACACACTCCTGAGGATTCCGTTAGGGGGAAAAAAATCACAAAAACTTACCATGAGTCAGGGAGCCAGACGTGCGATAAAAAAAAGCTCCCAAATCGACTCCAACAAAAACACAAGGACCGAATTCATGTCTCCTTCCGAACGGGTTACGCGTCGCTGCCTACACCGACGCGAAGGAGAAGTTGGTTTTGGTCGGGTAGAGAGAGAGGAAAAAAAAACCCTAAAAAGATTTGGACTTGACCAAACTTCCGTCTCGTTGGATCCAGGTGCGCCGCTCTCAGGTAGGGGGCGGGGACCTAGTTGTGCGCATGCGCAAAGCCGAACCATGCGTGTCAAACTCCATGGCTGCAATAAAAGGAGAAAAAGCCAACAAATATGAAATGTCTTGTTTGCAAACTAAATATTCAAAATCATTTATAAGTTGTAACTTACATGAGCGCACGCAGTCGCCTTTTGGTGAAGTTTAAAGTCTCGGTTTATACAGGCGGGCGTGTGTTTATTGTGCAGTCGCTCGAGTTAAATGAATCAATGAAGGATGATGCCGGTGGCGTTTGTTCAAGAGCTCCATTCATCCGGTTGCTGGGATACAAATAGTGGAGGAACGCGCTGGATTTCCGCACCGAGAAAATCTGGCGAAAGTTAAATGAATAATGACAAAAAGAACAATAATAATTCCTGAAAACAAAGATACATTGGTTCTTGTTTTCACATCCCTACACTTACCAGTCGATGAATCAAAAATCTCCCAGCTCTTTGCTTCAGTGGTGCCGATGAGGAGTTTGATGTCAAGAGGAGCAGCGACGTGGATCGCACCGGTGGGGGAAACTGCCCTCGACCACTACTGTGCAATGTGTCTGCCTTCAACTGGGCTGGCTCTCACACTGCAGGCATCCACGTCTCGTACAGTAATACAATCCAAAAACAGTAAGATCTACAAGTACCGCAATCATGACTAAGATAAAAGTAAAAAAGTAAAAGCAAGACAGGGTTTTATTCTCAAAAAAGCTATGTTTACTATTTTTGCCAACCTCTGTAACTGCAGTTTGAACATTAACACTGCTTAAATATTGGTTAAATAAACTTCTTACATAACACTGGTAGACAAATGCAAAGATGCAAGTAAACTTTTTGTGCTCTTATTCCAAATCTTTCCTTGTTTTTTTCTATTACATAATAATAATAATATGTAATATATTTATGTATGTTTATATATGTAATATATGATTGAATTCGGGTAAGGTTCATAAACTGGTAGATTTTTTTAATGAAACATCAGAAATATAAATTACATGGTAAAACCCGTACTGCGCAAGCTTTTATAGGTCAAACCTAAAAACAAAAAAATTAAAATATCCCCCAAAAAAAGATGTGCTAGAAAAAAAATGTAAGACGTTTTAAAATTAGGCCCAAAAGTACGCTTGAGGACACTTAAAGCCATCTCCGAATAAAGAATGCTGTTGAAGAGTGTAATTAGTAAAACAAAACAAAACAAATGTGTTTTGCCATCAGGCTATCCAACAGACTCACTGGTTAATCAATGAGATTCAACTCAACTGTGGTAATAAGATCTGCAAAATGATAAAGCAGTTAAACACTGCAAGCTAGAACCACAATAATAAATGTATTAATGAATAAATAACCCGCGGTCACCGAGATTCAAAACTGAAACGTTATCTTTGGAACAAATTTTGAGACGGAGATTGCGCAGACAATCGTGCGGGCGTAGCGAATCCTACAGCAGAAGGGTGGACATTATACAGAAAGGCTTGGAGGAAAGTCTGAAAATATGACACATAAAACCATACAAAAATAATCTTTATTTGTGTTTTGGATATATGCTTTTCATTGCAAAGTGATGATGAAAATATTAAAGTGAATGTTAATTCAACTTATCTGCGAAAGAAAGAACTCTTAACATTTGTCTATTTTACAACAGTACTGTATATATTCAGTGGATATAAAAAGTCTACACACCCCTGTTGAATTGCGATGCTTTTGTGATAAAACATTTTCCATCAGGAATGTAACCTACAACCTGGACAACTTTTTGGCGGCGATTCCAAACTCAACACAGCCATCACGAAAAGGTGATGGCAGCATCATGTTTGAAGCTGTTTTTCTTCAGCATTAGAAGAGATGAAGTGTATTGTTAACAGTTTGAAATAACGGTCAGTGTCATCAAAAAAACCTTCAGGCTTCTGATAGAAAGCAAAAGAAAAAGGTCAAGAAAAGCCGACTGGAACATCTGACTTACTTTATTTGGTGTAAATCAAAGGCAGTTTAAGGCACCACTTATTTTTTTACTTCCCCTCTTGAAAAGTTCAGTTATATTAATTTTGTAGGCCACATTAATGGTTCACCAAGTTTTGAAGTGAGTAACCTTGGTCAGTTTTTTATATCACAAAAACCAGGGCATTTGAACAGGGGTGTGTAGACTTTTAATATTCACTGTAAGTCCATGATGACTTGCATGGACTAATTCCCAGGAAAAAAAAAAAAAAAGATGTTAGGGCCTTAAGGCAGCACGAGCTTTGTCCAAAATGTCCTTTCTCATTTTTGGGTAGTTTGGATGAGCAGCGAGAACCTGTGGATGAAGCAAAACAATTCCAAAATTGTGGGATGTTTTCCAACTGTAAGCACCTTGAGACACCTCACCTTGTGGCAAACGTCGATGGCGTCAAAATGGCGCTTGGCTTTTAAGTAGTTGAACGCAAGCTTGTATCCTGAAATGTAGAATGTTACAAATATTATTTGAAATAATACTCTTCTTCATTCAAATTTATCTTCATAAGTGATTTTGGTGAGCATACCAATAGATGGGTTGGACTGATTTCCATATTTCCAAGCCAGTTCGTAGTTGAATGCTGCATCTCTGAATGCCTGCTCTTTCTCCATTATAAAACCCCGATACTCATAAGCTTTACAACATGACTGCAGAGAAAATACAGAGTTCAATACTTTATAATATACAGCTTTGAAGGAAAAAACACAAACCCTTTTTTTTTGCTCAATACTGCAAGTTAATATTAGATTATTTTTTTCAAGGCGCTCTCCTTTTTTAAAAATCAGAAACAAGACATTAATCTACGTCTTGAAAAATTAAGTTATCAAGACAAATAAAAATGCACACGTGCATACACACAGAGAGAGAGAGAGAGAGAGAGAGAGAGAGAGAGAGAGAGAGAGAGAGAGAGAGAGAGAGAGAGAGAGAGAGACTTGTTCAGCGCCAGATTGTGCAATCTATACTGAAGCAGTGACAGACCTTGTTATGATTGAGGCATCTCTTTAGGAGGTCATCTGCCAAGTCGTACTTCCCCGAATGGATGTAGATGTCCGCCAGGAGCAGCCAGCTCTTCTCAAACTCGTCGGCATCAACGATATTCCACGTCATCTTTGCGATACGCTTCAGTTGGTTCCTGGCTCGAGGAGTTTGTTTCAGCATCATGTATGCCGTTGCCATGGCTAACAGTGCTGGCACGTGGTCTTTCTAAATGCACACAAAACATCCTGGTCAAACAGGACAAAGGCAGCAAAACTGACCCCTCCCTTTCTTGTCTGTTTCCCGATAATGTTGTCTACAAAACTAATAAAATAGTGTGAAGGCATGTATAAAATCTTTGTGGAATGGGTGATATGGGAAGGTGAAATAATGCGCAGCAACCTGCTGTTATGTTTATTTATTAAACGGGGAAGAATGCAGTCACTCAAGCATGATGTTATGGATTACTCACTTCATTGGTTGCAAACTCTGCGAAAACAGAGAGAGCTTTCTCTATATTTGCTTTTTGTTTCGTGGCTAGTAAGCAGTAGTTCTCCAGGATACGAAGCTGTACATGTCCACCAGGCGTTTGCGGCTTTATCTCCTTGACGAGCCTCTCAGCTGTTCTTACTGCAACCTGCTCTGTCTCTTGCTTCTCTGTCGAGTTCCTGTTTCAGATCGGTCGACGGATGTTAGCATTTTCAGTTTGTGAGTTACATCTGAAGCGGATACAGAACAGCGGTGCCTTGAGATTGGAGTGACCCGACGAGTTTTTCCAAGATACAAACCGTCATAAACATGAAACAGAATTCATTACATGGTGGGTCTTTAAAACAACTGCATGAACTAGCTTAGCCAATGCTAATGCTCACACATAACGGGAAAAGGCAGATAGATTAGCGTCTATGTGGTGGTGTGAAAAAGCCAAATGTGCCTCAAATTGAATGAGCAGGTATGACAAAAACAGTTTATTATCATATTCGATACAGTATAATAAACTATTTATTATTATGTCCAATTATGTAATTATTGTATTTATTTTGGTAAAGTATTGAACTGCTATGTCAAGGCACCACTGTCCAGGAAATCTTTTCCACTCACCCGACTTCACCATCTAAATTCTCAAATACTTCTCCTCCCATTGTGTCACTGTCAGGATTTAGGTAGATTTCGATCATGTTATAAATTGCGTTTTGACCCCAATCATTGTCTTTCCTTGCCTGGTTGAAGTGGCGGAGAGCAGCGTTAGGTTCCCCCGTGTACCTGAGCAACAAGCACAAATTTAGTTACCTGCTGCACAAAGCACACTAAACACAATCTCAGGCAAAATCGAACTCACCAAAGATAAAGTCCTTTGCAGTAGTTAAAACCAGGGTCAAACTTAGCCCGAGAAGAATGTTTTTCCGCTCGATCAAAACATTTGGGCACGTCTTCCAACTTTCCCGCCCTCCTCAGCAAGTCAATGAGACGTGACAGTGTTGGGTAGTTGTCTATCATGTAAAAAAAAAAAAAAAATTAAATGACTATACTTGATATGCTTTTCCAATCATCCATTATCCAATCAGTCGATACTACAAATAGAAAGAACGGTACGAAATTCTTGGGCCAATTTTAGCCATGTCTACCATATTTACATCGCAATCTGAGTTTAAAACTTGGCTGAGAGCATCTGTATGGTGTCTGCATGTTCTCCCCACGGTTGCGTGTTTTTGTCTTTTTTTTCTCCATGGCACTCTGGTTTCCTCCCACGTTCCAAAAACAACATGTGCGTTCGGTAATTAAAGACTCTACATTGCCCACTGGTGAGCATGTGAGTGGTTGTTCGTTTATGGCGTATGTGCCTTGTGATCGACTGCCGACCGGTCCAAATGTAGAAAATGGATGGAATATGACAATGTGGATCCTTGCGGATCCAGGCGCCATGCGACTTTTTCACCCTGTCAAAATGACTGTTGTGTGAAGGATCATGACACCGACAAAGCCATCGATGACCATAATTCACAAATGATTGTGGGGTTTGCACCTGGCTTGCGCTCCAGGAGTTGCTGATAGCGGAAGACGGCCTGCTCGTAGTCTTGTCTCCTGAACATAAGGTCAGCCATCATCTAAACACATACACACGTTGAAAATAAGTTGTCGTTAATTAAGTGTTCCAATCGGATAACGCCAGGAGTACGTCGTGAAAGACTGAACACACCAGAGTTGCATCTTCATGAAACTGGTCGCTCTTCAAGATGACACTGCATTGTTCCTGACACGAATCGAGCTCATCGATGGTGAGGAAAATTTGGGCTAACTCCAGCATCACCTACAAATGGTGAGTTACGTGAATCCCTCTCAAAGAGAACCATCCTATACCGCTTCCAAAATCCCCAAGAGCGTTAGTACATAGAAGGATGAGATTCACAAAGATGCTCGGGCTGGTCGAGCACAGCTGCAACAGGGAGGACATAGGCCGTTTTGATTCAGTAGTACAGACCTTGTGATCCGTCTCGCAGTAAACAAGAGCTTCTTTGTAGAACTTGATTGCTCTCTCATAGCCCCTCTGACTCGTGTAGTGCTGAGCGATCTCGGAGCAGATCTTGGCGGCGAG